CCTCTAGTAATATATTTACTGAGAAAAATGGTGATGTGTTCAATACTTATTTTACCCGCTGTATGTATGTATAATATATGTTATTGATAAAGGCTGACGCTAGTTGAGCAGATTCTGTGTTTGACCTTTAAGCTCAGTACCGTCAGGTGAAACGAGGTTCTCTGGGAGCTCTGACGATGAGTCAGCTGATGAAGAGACAGCTGGAGCATCAGTCCAGTGCACCACACAACATCTGCACCTGGGAGACGGGTCAGTCAAAATAAGAAAACACAAATAAATAACTTGTCCAGTAGCTTTACAGGTGGTGGATAAGGAAAACACACTTTTGTTTGTCTTTGGCAGGTCCTACAAAGACAAGTCTCCTCTCGGCGCCGAGCACAGTCAGCATGTTTGTCCCAGCACCTGAAGAGTTCATCGACGAGCAGCCCACCACCATGTCTGACCGGTGAATGAATTATTCAGTAACTACGCGTAAACGAGTCATCTGTATGCCTAACTCGACCCCCTTTTTAAAAAAAAACATCATGTTTCGCAGGTGTCGGGACTGTGCAGCTGTGCTGGARGAATATGATGAGGAGACTCTTGCCCTCGCTGTGATCGTCCTCTCCATGTTCATCCACCTGAGCCCCGACTTGGCTGCTCCCATGCTCCTCGACATCATGCAGTCTGTGGGCAGGTACCAGCTCCGTCCACACAGCACCTCACCCGTTAAATGAAGTTTCATAACTCGCTCTAAGAACTCATGCATAATTCACCTCCCGGGCCTAATCTGCTGCTTTGACTCCTTTCAGGCTGGCATTCAGCAGCAATTTCTCTGGACAAGCTGAGAGGTATGAGACTTTGAAGTCTTCACGTAAACGCGTTCAAATATCTGCAGCGCTTGTAGCTTATTAATATATGTGAAGCGTGGCTGGCACGAACACGCTCCATGTGATGTTTCTCAGTATGTTGATCCCAGGAAATGTAGCAGGTGTGGCCAAGCAGTTCCTCCGCTGTGTGTTTCACCAGCTGGCCCCAAATGGTATTTTGCCTCAGCTCTTCCAGAGTAACATCAAAGGTTTGCTTCTTTTCTTTCTTTTTTTGATTGTTTTTTTAAAGGTGAGCCAAATCAAATGTGATGATTTTTATTTCTCATTATTTCACAGATGGGAGTTTTCTGCGAACACTCGCGACCTCTCTGATAGACTTTAATGAACTGAGCTCAGTTGCAGCTCTCAACATGCTTCTGGAGGTGGGAGTTTTTCTTTTTTCTCCTCATGTGTTGAGCCATAAAACCAGCAGGGGGAGCTTTTGTCAAACAAAAAATCTTTTTGAACAGCAAAATGCTCTTCAAAAGCCCATTTCAAAAAAATTTTTTATATATTTTTTTTATAAAACTAGTGTTCTCCGAATCAGTGAGCCATTTTATTGTTACTGTTTGGTCAAAATAGTAAAAAATAAGAAACAATCAATGAATGAACTTATTCAGGAAGCACCTCAGTGACTTTAACAGCTTTCAGCGTTCTCATTGATTAGTTAAATGGAAATATATTCACATATAGAAAACTGTTATGTAACCTTGTTATGGTTTGTGCCTGTGCCTACCAGGGCTTGAACAACAAAAAGAGCCTCCCAGCTGGGAGCACCATGCTGCACTGCCTGGACAACATCGCCTCCTTCATGGAGGCTCTCSCCATGGACTCCCCTAGCAACCTGTGGACGACCATCTGCAACCAGTTCCAGACCTTCCTCGCCAAACTGCCCTCCGTGCTTCCTCTGAAGGTAGATACCAACTCTTCCGCTCGCTCAGTCATGGTCTGATATGGTTTAATGTGATTATGGCTCGAGGAAAAAAAAGCATCTCGCAGCGCCCTTGTCTGGCTCAATAGGAGAGTCTTAAAATTGTAATTGATTTGACTCTGATGCTTTTAACCTTGGGGAGGGTGGGAGGGGTCAAATTAGTGCATGCACCGGATTCAGGAAACATGAGCATGCAGTCATTATTTTTTCATTTTTTTTAACCTTTGCTGCTTGAAACAAAATGGTCAAACGTTTGTGTCTCCACAGTGCCCGATGGATTCTAGTTTGCGGATTATTATTTGTCTTCTAAAAATCCCGACAATAAACGCAACTCGGGTAATTTCCCAATAAAAGCTTTACATTTCAGTGCATGACCACCCGAATTCCTGCCTTTGATGTTTATCATGTTTTCATCTCTGCTTTCCAGAGTCTCTTGGAGCCTTTCTCCAAGCTGCTGAGCTTCGTGATCCAGTACGGCACGTTCAGCCTGTCTTACCTTGTGGAGCTTTGTGGACTGTGTTACAAAGCCTTCAACAAGGTACGCTTCGGATGTTTTGTCTAAAACACAAAGTGCAAGGGTTGAATTAATCTGCAGCATTGACGGGGCTGAGCTCCTGTTTGCCGGCCTCTCACTCATCACCTGCTTTTCCCCCCGACTTCTCCAGGCAGCCAGAAGAGTGGCCATGTGTCACAGATGATTAAGTAAGCAATCAGCCAGTATTGATTAGCACGATTAGTTTGTGCGCCGGGGTTGAGGATGTATGGCGTKTTTCTTAGTGGCTCCCCGTGGCAGAGATGGAGCTGAGGCCGCCTGCGCTGTTCGTCAGCCGTCAGCGCCGCTTGCTTTATACCCCCTGCGTTATTGATTTTTCACACTCCCCTTAATTCCCTGCCTCTTTCATATCCGCGTTTCCAGATCCCGCGTTGCTTCGATCAATTGCTTTTCGGATCCCGTTGGGCCGGCGTCACTTTTCCAGCTGCTTCAGGTGGCTTTTGGAAATTAGGTTTTAAAATGATAGTTCGGATCTCACTTTTTAAAGTGCGCCAAAGTTTGTCGCGCCGTGCCGTTTGCCGCAGCTGCACTCCGCCACGTTTGAATGGACCCTCTTATTAAGTCTGTAGCTTAAGAACACCCGTTTGATTAGCTATTTACCAAACAGACACGCTCCATTAGCGTTTAATTATGAGAGGGCCTCACACAGGTACGAGGCGGAGGCAGCTTTGCAAGAGGAACATGTGGCCGCTTCCGACATAAGTCAACACGACTGCAAAGGGAAAGAGCGAGGCAAACTGCAGGCCTGGAGATGACAGTGTGGTTTGTAAACAGGCAGCTGGGCTTTGTGTGGAAGAAGCGAACAAAGAGAGCAGCCTGTCCTCGGGGAGGGAGAAGGCAGCCTGACAGCCTCATCTGAGCTGCCTGGGACTCTGGGAGGAGAGATCTGGACTGGCCTAAATCTACTCCTCGCCTTCACTATTCTCTGCCTCCCTGGCYGCTCTCCCCTCCCCGCCTTCTATTCAAGCTTCAGAGTTTATGCTCTCCGCTCAGCATGAGTAAGGAAGAGTGATAATGGAAAAAGGCAGTCTTGCTGCTCCAGTACATTTACTCCATTCTCCTTTCTCCTCGCAATCCAGGAGCGAGATAAGTTCTACATGTCCCGCATTGTGGTGCTGGAGCTTCTGCAGGCGCTCAAGTTCAAGTCTCCTCTGCCTGATACGAACTTGTTACTGTTGGTCCAGGTAAAAAAAAAAAGAGAGAAGTTTTATTCAGCTCAGTTTGAACTAATCCTTAAAACCCAACCTTAAACCTCGTGAATCTGTCTCAGTTTGTTTGTGCAGACATTGGCACGCGTCTAGCTGAATCCACCATCATMCAGAAGCACATGATCTCGACGCTGCCGGGGGTGAGACTTAAAAACTCTGTGTGCTGCACCCTTATTAAGATCAGCCTCGTAAAACAGCAGGAAGTACAAATACACCCCTCTGTGGTAAGACTAAATGTTTGTTTTTTGTTCTCAGTGTACAACAGCAGCGATGGAATGCATGAGACAATACACAAGTGAGCTCCTGGACTTCATTGCAGATATGCACACTCTAACCAAACTGAAAGTAAGTCTCACAGCTCGCTGAATATCTCATCATGAGCCAGTTTTTAGTAATGATTTTTTTTCTTCGCTCCTAAATTCAGAGCCATATGAAAGCGTGCTGTCAGCCACTCCACGAGGACACTTTTGGGGGAAACCTGAAAGTGGGCTTGGCACAAGTTGCAGCCATGGAGATCAGCAAAGGCAATCACCGCGATAACAAGGCTGTGGTCCGTTATCTTCCCTGGTTGTACCATCCACCCTCCACCATGCAGCAAGGGTAAGAATGAGTGAGCAGTGAAGAGACTTAGAGGCATGGTTTACACAATTATTCCAGTACAGAGCTATTAAGACACGTTTTCATTTTGTTTTTATTGATTTCTTTCTGAATTGGTAGTCGTCCTGCAAAAAAACCAGCTAAACAAAGAGGGAAATATTTAAGAAGGACTAAAAAGAGCATAAACTTTGCATAAAACATAAGGAAATTTGTGTTTGGTAGATTATTATTTCTTTGTTGTAACAAAGCTTCTTGGAAAACCTGTTATTTTCCATTTTAAATGGCGCCACATTTGTAAGGAACAGGCATTTGTGGGATGAGCAGTAGATCTGAGTACGTGAGCTGCACACATGAAAAATTAGCCAAATCTCCTCTCAAACGGCTTACATGTATTTTGCTGTTGATATTGACACTTGTTTTGAGCTTGTGGTAAACCCAGGTGCTGCCAGTCAGGTGCCTGGAATAAGATTTATTGCCAAAAAAAGCATTGTTACAACAAAGAAATAATCTACTAAACACAAATTTCCTTCATTTTTGTGCTAAGTTTATGTTATGCAGCACTGCTGGTTTCCTAAAATAGGTGAAAAAAAACAATGATTTCAAGCTAAAGATTTTATCCAATAAAGTTAAAACTGACTCAATAATCTGGGAAAACAAAAATATGGATTTGAATTATTCGTCTGTGATGGTCTGCTTTTGGTGGTGTGTTTTGTCTTTTTTTAGTTTTACAAAAGTGCTCTTTCAGTCACTCTGTCATGCATACTCAAGTGGTTGCAAACAAGGACATTTTGCATGCGGAGAGGCCGGGGTGATTGTTGGAGAGTCATGGCTCTTTTTATGTTTGCTGTTGAGTTTTCTGTGTTTCAGAGACGCATCATTTGTGTAAATGACAGTTTTGCACGTGCTTTTTCATGCTTTTGCCTGTTTTATATATTATTTATTATTCTTATTTTACATATTATTTCTTCTTTTGTTTATGGCACAAAACACACATCTGAGCACAACTAAATTAAATCAAAAGTAAAAGACAAAAATACATTTTTATTCATTCCTATGTTCTTATTTGTGGTTCTTTTTTTTGTTGTTTTCTTTCATGCACCGGTCCACAACTACTGTAGATTAAGCCATGCAGTGTAGAGAGCGAAAACATGCATTTTAAGGACAAGAAAAGACCAGTTTGTCCTAAAATGCAATAATAATATCCTCAGCATACTGACATCCTTCTTTTGTTATCAGAAATCCCCATTAGTTTTGATTCATACATATATTTATGAGGACATGAGGATGGAAGAACAAATATTCATGTAATTAGAACAGTTGTAGTTTAATTACACATAATTGGTTTTATAGTTGAAAGTTTGGAAACCATGTGCACCATTATATTTCTCATGATAAAACTCAAGTTTCATGTCAGTCTATGTTTCTTAAGTAGTCCAAAAAATTGCCTTAATCACACACACCAAACTCCAGAACTGGTTTATTGTCATGTTCAAGTTAACACAAGTCAACAATGCAATGAAATGCTTAGGCTGAGAAGAACCATTCAACTCGCTATAAAAACAAGAAGTACCAATAGAATGCAATAGAAGCACAAAATAAAGTTTMATATAATAATATAACAAAGTACAAAATAGTAGAGTAAAATATAACGGTGCAGGCAGGATGAATAAAGTATAAGTAGAGTATTTGCTCTATATGCTCTTGATTAGTCAGACTTTATGGGCTAATATAAAACAAACATTCTAGTTAAATCCAGAGATTTTACTCTGCTCCATTTGTTGAATAATTTGCAAACTTCATTAACTACAAAAACCACAGCTGCATGAAAAGATCTGAAACTCTGTTTATGCAAAGCTGCCATTGTGGAAGTGAAATATGTGAATAATAAAATGCAGAGCCGGTAATTTGAGCGTAATGTCAGACTAATTTCTCCAACTTTTTATCTCCTCAGGCCAAAGGAATTCATTGAGTGTGTGTCCCACATTCGTCAGCTGTCCTGGCTTCTTCTGGGCTCCCTGACGCACTGCGCTCTGCACCAGGGCTCCACCTCCTGCATGCCCATCCCTCTAGACGCTGGCTCCCACATTGCAGATCACCTCATAGTCATCCTCATTGGTTTCCCAGAGCAGTCAAAGGTCGAGCTAACACAAATCTCTCTTTTTTTTTTTTTTTCACGGTCACTCAAAGGTTTTTGTCCACACGACACGATGTTTTGATCCTCTTTGATTTGTCGTTGTTTGTTACCTGCAGACGTCGGTGCTGCACATGTGCTCTTTGTTCCATGCTTTCATGTTCGCTCAGCTGTGGACCATCTACTGTGAGCAGGCGGCTGCGGCGCCGTCCCTGCAGAACCAGAACCAAACGGAGTTTTCGTCCGGCGCCATCCTCACGGGCCTGGAATTCTGGAGCCGGGTCACACCGAGCATCCTGCAGCTCATGGCTCACAATAAAGTGGTAACTTTAGCCTCTTTTCACACACGTCAACCCCTTCTGACGTTTACCTGTACACTGACCTCGAAAAACCCGTAATTTTCACCAAAAATCCGTAGTACTCTCAGTGGTTAGCAGTGTGGACGACACCGCCCACCCCTTCCTCCTCCTTACTGCGAGGAACAGCTGAAATGCACAGAAATGCATTAAGGTTTTTTTTTTGCCATTTTTATGCCCTATAGGTTCTGAGATGTAAAATAAATTTTTTGAAGCTTTTTTTTTTTGAAAAAAAAAATTGTGAGATTTCTCTCAACTTCCCATATCTGTGAAATGGGGGAAAATCTGTGTGATTTACGGACAATCTGCACAACTTGACCTATATGCTTTTTCATATTATGAGGAAAAACATTTTGTTTCTGCCCACCACTGAGGGCAAGTGGTTATAATGTTTTGGCCTGTGCCTGGGTGTGTGTGTGTGTGTGTGTGTGTGTGTGTGTGTGTGT